AAAGTCATATCAGTATAGAGGTCACACTGGTGGTTATGTTATATCAGTATAGAAGTCACACCGGTTGTCATGTCACATCAGCATAGAGGTCACACTGGTGGTCAGGTCGTATTGGTATAGAGGTCACTCTGGTGGTCATCTCGTATTGGTATAGAGGTCACAATGGTGGTCATGTCATATCTGTATAGAGGTCACACTGTTGGTCATTTCGAATCAGTATAGAGGTCACTCTGGCGGTCATGTAATATCAATATAGAGTACACAGGTGGTAAAGTCATATCTGTATTGAGGTCACACTGGCGGTCATGTCATATCGGTATAGAGGTCAAACTGGCGGTCATGTCATATTGGTATATAGGTCACACTGGCGGTTATGTCATATCGGTATAGAGGTCACACTGGTGGTCATGTCATATCGTTATAGAGGTCACACTGGTGGTCATGTCATATCGGTGTAGAGGCCACACTGGTGGTCATGTCATATCAGTATAGAGGTCACACTGGTGGTAAAGTTATATCAGTATAGAGGTCACACTGGTGGTCATGTTATATCAGTATAGAAGTCACACCGGTTGTCATGTCACATCGGCATAGAGGTCACACTGGTGGTCAGGTCGTATTGGTATAGAGGTCACACTGGCGGTCATGTCGAATCAGTATAGAGGTCACACTGGTGGTCATGTAATATCGAAAGAGGTCACACTGGTGTTCATGTCATGTCGGTATAGAGGTCACACTGGTGGTCGTGTCATATTGGAAGAGGTCACACTGGTGGCCATGTCATATCGGTAGAGTTCACACTGGTGGTCATGTCATATCGGTATAGAGGTCACACTGGTGGTAAAGTCATATCGGTGTAGAGGCCACACTGGTGGTCATGTCATATCAGTATAGAGGTCACACTGGTGGTAAAGTTATATCAGTATAGAGGTCACACTGGTGGTCATGTTATATCAGTATAGAAGTCACACCGGTTGTCATGTCACATCGGCATAGAGGTCACACTGGTGGTCAGGTCGTATTGGTATAGAGGTCACACTGGCGGTCATGTCGAATCAGTATAGAGGTCACACTGGTGGTCATGTAATATCGAAAGAGGTCACACTGGTGTTCATGTCATGTCGGTATAGAGGTCACACTGGTGGTCGTGTCATATTGGAAGAGGTCACACTGGTGGCCATGTCATATCGGTAGAGTTCACACTGGTGGTCATGTCATATCGGTATAGAGGTCACACTGTGGTCATGATGTCATATCGGTATAGAGGTCACACTGGTGGTCATGGCATATCGGTATAGAGGTCATACTGGTGGTCATGTCGTATTGGTATAGAGGTCACACTGGCGGTCATGTTGAATCAGTATAGAGGTCACTCAGGTGGTCATGTAATATCGATAGAGGTCACACTGGTGTTCATGTCATGTCGGTATAGAGGTCACACTGGTGGTCATGTCATATTGGTAGAGGTCACACTGGTGGCCATGTCATATCGGTAGAGGTCACACTGGTGGTCATGTCATATCGGTATAGAGGTCGCAATGGTGGTCATATCATATCTGTATAGAAGTCACACTGGTGGTCATTTCGAATCAGTATAGAGGTCACTCTGGCGGTCATGTAATATCAATATAGAGGTCACACCGGTGGTAAAGTCATATCTGTATAGAGGTCACACTGGCGGTCATGTCATATCGGTATAGAGGTCACACTGGCGGTCATGTCATATCGGTATATAGGTCACACTGGCGGTCATGTCATATTGGTCACACTGGTGGTCATGTCATATCGGTATAGAGGTCACACTGGTGGTCATGTCATATCGGTATAGAGGTCACACTGGTGGTCATGTCATATCTGTATCTAGGTCACACTGGTGGTCATGTCATATCGGTATAGATGTCACACTGGTGGTCATGTCATATCGGTAGATGTCACACTGGTCTCATGTTATATCGGTATAGAGGTCACACTGGTGGTCATGTCATATTGGTAGAGGTCACACTGGTGGCCATGTCATATCGGTAGAGGTCACACTGGTGGTCATGTCATATCGGTCACACTGGTGGTCATGTCATATCGGTATAGAGGTCACACTGGTGGTCATGTCATATCAGTATAGAGGTCACACTGGTGGTCATGTCATATCGGTATAGAGGTCACACTGGTGGTCATGTCATATCGGTATAGAGGTCACACTGGTGGTAAAGTCATATCGGTATAGAGGTCACACTGGTGGTCATGTCATATCGGTATAGAGGTCACACTGGTGGTAAAGTCATATCGGTATAGAGGTCACACTGTTGGTTATATCAGTATAGAAGTCAGACCGGTTGTCATGTCATATTGGTATAGAGGTCACTCTGGTGGTCATGTCGTATTGGTATAGAGGTCACACTGGCGGCCATGTCGAATCAGTATAGAGGTCACTCTGGCGGTCATGTGATATCGATAGAGGTCACACTGGTGCCCATGTCATATTGGTAGAGGTCACACTGGTGGCCATGTCATATCGGTATAGGTTGTCATGTCATATCGGTATAGAGGTCACACTGTGGTCATGTTGTCATGACGGTATAGAGGTCACACTGGTGGTCATGTCATATCAGTATAGAGGTCACACTGGCGGTCATGTCATGTCGGTATAGAGGTCACACTGGTGGTCATGTCATATTGGTAGAGGTCACACTGGTGGCCATGTCATATCGGTAGAGATCACACTGGTGGTCATGTCATATCGGTCACACTGGTGGTCATGTCATATCGGTATAGAGGTCACACTGGTGGTCATGTCATATAAGTATAGAGGTCACACTGGTGGTCATGTCATATCGGTAGAGGTCACACTGGTGGTCATGTCATATAGGTCACACTGGTGGTCATGTCGTATTGGTATAGAGGTCACTCTGGCGGTCATGTAATATCGATAGAGGTCACACTGGTGTTCATTTCATGTCGGTATAGAGGTCACACTGGTGGTCATGTCATATTGGTAGAGGTCACACTGGTGGCCATGTCATATCGGTAGAGGTCACACTGGTGGTCATGTCATATCAGTAGAGGTCACACTGGTTGCCATGTCATATCGGTAGAGGTCACACTGGTGGTCATGTCATATCGGTCACACTGGTGGTCATGTCATATCCGTATAGAGGTCACACTGGTGGTCATGTCATATCGGTATAGAGGTCACACTGGTGGTAAAGTCATATCGGTATAGAGGTCACACTGTTGGTTATATCAGTATAGAAGTCAGACCGGTTGTCATGTCATATTGGTATAGAGGTCACTCTGGTGGTCATGTCGTATTGGTATAGAGGTCACACTGGCGGCCATGTCGAATCAGTATAGAGGTCACTCTGGCGGTCATGTAATATCGATAGAGGTCACACTGGTGCCCATGTCATATTGGTAGAGGTTACACTGGTGGCCATGTCATATCGGTATAGGTTGTCATGTCATATCGGTATAGAGGTCACACTGTGGTCATGTTGTCATGACGGTATAGAGGTCACACTGGTGGTCATGTCATATCAGTATAGAGGTCACACTGGCGGTCATGTCATGTCGGTATAGAGGTCACACTGGTGGTCATGTCATATTGGTAGAGGTCACACTGGTGGCCATGTCATCGGTAGAGATCACACTGGTGGTCATGTCATATCTGTCACACTGGTGGTCATGTCATATCGGTATAGAGGTCACACTGCTGGTCATGTCATATAAGTATAGAGGTCACACTGGTGGTCATGTCATATCGGTAGAGGTCACACTGGTGGTCATGTCATATAGGTCACACTGGTGATCATGTCGTATTGGTATAGAGGTCACACTGGCGGTCATGTCGAATCAGTATAGAGGTCACTCTGGCGGTCATGTAATATCGATAGAGGTCACACTGGTGTTCATGTCATGTCGGTATAGAGGTCACACTGGTGGTCATGTCATATTGGTAGAGGTCACACTGGTGGCCATGTCATATTGGTAGAGGTCACACTGGTGGTCATGTCATATCGGTCACACTGGTGGTCATGTCATATCGGTATAGAGGTCACATTGTGGTCATGTCATGTCGGTATAGAGGTCACACTGGTGGTCATGTCATATCAGTATAGAGGTCACACTGGCGGTCATGTCATATCGGTATAGAGGTCACACTGGTGGTCATGTCATGTCGGTATAGAGGTCACACTGGTGGTCATGTCATATCAGTATAGAGGTCACACTGGTGGTCATGTCATCTCGGAATAGAGTCACACTGGTGGTCATGTCATATCGGTATAGAGGTCACACTGGTGGTCATGTCATATCGGTATAGATTTCACACTGGTGGTCATGTCATATCGGTATATAGGTCAAACTGTGGTCATGATGTCATGTCGGTATAGAGGTCAAACTGTGGTCATGATGTCATGTCGGTATAGAGGTCAAACTGGTGGTCATATACAAAGAAGACAAGTGTCTGGACTGCAGTCTCTGGACACATCATATGTTAGCTCCAAAAAATAAACGAGAAAGATTTACACAAGAAATGGTTCTGAATAAATTAAGGCACATTTTTTATGTTTAAAATGATTGACATGCATATGTTTGACATGTAGCTAGCAATCAATGCAGTCCAAGAAATGGAAACCAGAAATGATAATCCCAAATTTAGAACTTTGTCTGAACAGGCATTTATAAAACATTTGAGTTGGTATAAAAAGGTTGTTGTGGTTGAAATAAGAATCAGTAAAGTCTTTTGAAAGCAGTCATTGATATTCAAATGCACTTCATGAAGAGCAGGTCTTACATTTACATGAAACTTAAAAAGTGCTGTTGCTATGGAAATGGTTCTGGAAATGTCAGCCTAGCTCCTTCCTCACATTGTCTATATCCAAACGGTAGCATAGTCATAGCTATAAAATTTGCATATAATCATGTTTATGCATATCATTGAGGATACATTTTTTCAAAGAAAAATCTTTGTTCATGTATGCGAAATCAAAATAAACAAACTTCAGTTACCATTGCCTGTTTCGCTTTTCAAGAAACGATGATCCTATAGGTTTTATTGAATAAAATTCACAGAAAATGAATCACAAACAAAATGTGCCCCAGATATCAACCATTGTACAATTACAGACACTGGTCCCCAAGTCTTTATTGCAGACTATATCCCATCAGAAATGTCAATTGAAATAAGTATTTTGTAAGAGGCAGAAAGAAGTGGTTGAAAACTAGAAAATAATTTCATGTAACTGAAGGCATTTAGAAAAAACAGATATTATGTTGACATCATAAGATTCGAGACCTCTGTGACATGTTCTCTTACAGACTGATCCAAAATACCATAAACATCTGTACAGCCTTTAATTCCCATATCAAGAACTTTCTCCAAATTGTCAACATGAAGTCGTGAATTCTGTTGAAAAAGAACGATCTGTTCAGATTTTGGTAAGAGTGCAACAACCATTTCTGGGCTGCCGACAGATTCTTCCAGATAACTAATGTCCACAACAGGAGTGTCTTCTAAGAGACTAGAAGTGCATGCACACACGTAGTCTCGCATTGGAATACCGGCATCTATCACTGCTAAGGTTGCAGCATTCACACATGCACAATAGTTGCCACCATCAGATTGTAGAACCTGTGATAAAAGAAAAGGTATCAGTAATCAACTATGGAAGATGTTTACAAGTTTGGATGAAATCAGCTTGTACATTGCTGAGTAACCACAGTCATTATTGTGGGTCAGCTTGTACATTGCTGAGTAACCACAGTCATTATTGTGGGTCAGCTTGTACATTGCTGAGTAACCAGAGTCATTATTGTGGGTCAGCTTGTACATTGCTGAGTAACCACAGTCATTATTGTGGGTCAAACATTTCAACATTTATTTCATGCAAATAAGCTCAAAATAATATATTTTTATGCAAATTAGCTGAGACCATTTCATTTGTTTTCTTCTACATATAGTTAATTGAATAGCATTAAGTTGTAACTTAGACGCCATTTTCCATATCTGTTGTATCTGTAGTGATTATGTTATAACCTAGGAGTACAGCTCATTTGGGGGGGGGGGGAATTAAAAACCCTACCTTCTTAACCAGTATGTTTACCATGAAACCATAAACAATCAGATTGACACAACTTTTATTACATAGTATAGACATAAAATTATTACCCTGAACTTCTAGGATAAAGATTGTGTTCAGCTGATTTATTCAAGGATATTGGCAATTTAACAATTAAATCTCACCTGCACATATATGTCTATTTGTGATCTGGGATATAAATGGGTAAGAATAGCTGCCTGAAATGTGCGTCGTAAATTCATTGACATTTCTTGGGACCGTCGATCACCTTTTGGTCTTGTTTTTCTCTCCCCCGTACTGAATGTAGCCATACTGTATTGGCAATTCAACAGAACTTTGTCATGAAGAGCTTTTGAACGCCCACCAGTGATCTGTCAGGAATCAAGATAATTGAAGCGATGAGGATTAAAAATGAAATCGTGATAACACTCTCCTGGTCATAAACTCAATAAGAAACTGACACCTACAACAACCAGCATTCTCATCAGATTAATCAGTTGGTTATATGTGAGTAATCAGTTGGTTATATGTGAGTAATTAGTTATCTATGTGCGAGTATTCAGTTGTCTATGTGTGAGTATTCAGTTGGCTGTGTGAGTATTCAGTTGGCTATATGCGAGTAATTAGTTGATATGTGTGAGTAATCAGTTGGCCATGTGTGAGTAATCAGTTGGCCATGTGCGAGTAATCAGTTGTCATGTGCGAGTAATCAGTTGGGTGTGCGAGTAATCAGTTGGGTGTGCGAGTAATCAGTTGGGTGTGCGAGTAATCAGTTGGCTATGTGTGAGTAATCAGTTGTCTATGTGCGAGTAATCAGTTGGCTGTGTGAGTAACCAGTTGTCTATGTGCGAGTAATCAGTTGGGTGTGAGTATTCAGTTGGCTATGTGCAAGTAATCAGTTGGGTGTGTGAGTAATCAGTTGGTTATGTGTGAGTAATCAGTTGGCTATGTGCGAGTAATCAGTTGGGTGTGTGAGTAATCAGTTGGCTCTGTGAGTATTCAGTTGTCTATGTGTAAGTAGTTGTCTATGTGCGAGTAATCAGTTGGCTATGTGCGAGTAATCAGTTGGCTATATGTGAGTAATCAGTTGGCTATGTGTGAGTAATCAGTTGGCTATGTGCGAGTATTCAGTTGGCTATGTGCGAGTAAGTAGTTGTCTATGTGTGAGTAATCAGTTGGCTATGTGCAAGTAAGTAGTTGTCTATGTGCGAGTAATCAGTTGTCTATGTGCGAGTAATCAGTTGGCTATGTGCAAGTAAGTAGTTGTCTATGTGCGAGTAAGTAGTTGTCTATGTGCGAGTAATCAGTTGTCTATGTGCGAGTAATCAGTTGGCTATGTGTGAGTAATCAGTTGGCTATGTGTGAGTATTCAGTTGGCTATGTGAGAGTAATCAGTTGGGTGTATGAGTATTCAGTTGGCCATGTGCGAGTAATCAGTTGGGTGTGTGAGTAAGTAGTTGTCTATGTGCAAGTATTCAGTTGGCTAAGTGCAAGTAAGTAGTTGGCTATGTGCGAGTAATCAGTTGGCTATGTGTGAGTAAGTAATTGTCTATGTGCGAGTAATCAGTTGGCTATGTGTGAGTAAGTAGTTGTCTATGTGCGAGTAATCAGT